CCAGCAAAGAAACAGCATCCGGATCTATAGTTGCAAGGAACTGGGATCTGCCAACAACTGAATAGGCAGGATACAGATTCTCCCCTAGAGCTTCCAGAAAGGAACACAACTGGTCAACACCTTGACTTCATTCTGATTAAACTTACACCAGACTTCTCACCTATTATAAGATAATAAATGTACTGTTTTGAGCTCCAAAATTTGTGATAAACATGATATAATAGCAATAGAAAACTAATACAGAATACATACAAGAAAATATGGGAGGAATTAAAATGATATGCCAGCAGGTCAAAGAAGCAAAATTACTAGGAAAGGAACTTGATCATACTTGCCTCTTAAAAATTATCAACCTATGGGCTGGAGATATAGCTCAGTCAATAGAGTGCTTACCTTGCCTGCACAAGGTCCTGGGTTCAATCCCCAGCACCACAGGAAAAAAAAATAGTGTAAGTAGATTAGAAAATCACGAGTTCAAAGCCAGCCTCAGAAATTCAGTGAGGCCCTAAACAACTCAGTGAAACCCTGTCTCTAAATAAAATATTAAAAAGGACTGGGGATGTGGCTTAGTGGTTAAGCACCCCTGGGTTCAATCCCCAGAATCAAAAAAAAAAAAAAAAGAAATGTTTAAATTGATGTTGTGATAATAAATCAATCAGACAAGTTCATATTGTGGACATATATAGGACAACTGCCTGGACTCATCAGAAATGCCAATATCATGAAAAATTAAAAGCAAAACATTGAAGAATGCTATTCTAGATTTAAAAAGACTCAACAATCACAATAACTAAACAAAATGTATAATCCTTGACTAGATCAGAACAAATGAAAAGCTATAAAAATATTACTAAGAAAATTTGGCGTGGACAATGTATTAGACAGTAGCATTGTATCAGTGTTAAATTTCTTCAGGTGCAATAACAGAAATGCATGTTTTTATAAGAGACATGATGAAGTATTTAGGGATAAGTGTCATGATAACTGCAAGTTACTTCCAAAGGGTTCAGCAAAAAAGTGTGTGTGTATAATCAGAAAGAGAAAACCCATACAGCAAAAAGCAAGTAACTGATGAATCTACATTGATGATATCTTTCCACTTTTCCATTGGGTTGAAATTTTATAAAGTAAAAAATTAGTGAAGAAAAGTATTATTTGGATACATAAACTTAACCTTAATGATAATTATAAATCTTACTAGTAAATTTAGAAACAAAGCAATGCATTGACATTTTTGGCAGAACATTTTCTGAAAAATACAAGAAAGACAAAAAAGTAAGTAAGTAAGAGAACTGAAAAAGAAGCAACCAATCAAAGGAAAGCTGGTGAAAGTATATTAGTAGCAAACAAACTGGATTTTAAATGCAAGAAGATAAAAGCATCACTTAAAAATAAATATTTGTCTATTCTAGACTTGTATGCACATAACAACAAAGCCTTAATTCCACAAAACAAAAATTGACAGAACTACAAGAAGTTGACAAATTCACAATCACAGTGGGAGATTTTAAATCTACCTCTCTTGATAACTGATAGATTTAGCACAAAAAATTAGTAGAGATATAGATTTAAACAACACAATTAACAAGTTTAATGAATATTTATATAACCCTACATATAACAGAATATACAAAATATTTTCAGGTACACATGAAACAACTGATCATGTTCTCAAGGACATAAGGCAAACATTTCAACAAATACTAAATAATGTTTGTACTCAGTGAAATTAAAATGAGAAACAATAACAAAATGTTAAGATAAAAAGATCCATATACCCATGCCTCAGTTTCTAAATACCATCTCTTAGTACCAGAGTCCCATAGAGAAATGGTCAATGGAGTAGAAAATACAAGATGAGCCTGAAAGTAAGGAAGAAAAGAAATGTTAAAGTAAGTTAAAATATCTATGAAATGATAGGACATGTCAAAAGGACAGAGGAAACAATTTGAATGGGCAGTCAATGACTTAATTTGGGCAATTGAGCATTAAAGTAAATAATGATAGCAACATCCTATTTGAGAAATAAACTAAATATCTGTGCTCAAAGAAATGAATAAATACATGGAGAAAAAAGCTTTTCCTTGAAGTAGTATTTAAACTAGTAATGTAGTAAAAAAGATGGAGTTTGAAAATTATCATTTTTGTAGTCATCTTGGTAATAACTAATTCAGTCAAGAATTAGCAATGGATGCAAAAGCTAGTGGAAAATAGTTTGATGAGGAACAGGATATTCACACAGTCTCAAAGTATTCCCAGCAAAATTACTAACTACAAAAAGAAAAATGGCAACTTTAGAGTGGATTAATCTGGAAAACACCCAACACCTTAAATAATAAAAGTTAATATTACTCCTAAGGGGTCACACCAGCATCATATGCCACCAATATGATGGCCTGAGAACAACACAATATTACTTCTGTAGTATCCTTCCAACAATGATTATTATCATATTATTAATATTACTATATTAAATAGATTACATATTAAATATTATGTCTATATTATTCATCTACCACTGATCTACATCCTCAGATCTCTCACAAGTTTTTAAACTGTTAAATTCAATCAAAAAGTTTAAAACATAAGAATCAAAATCAGCAATAATGCCGTCAATAAATACCATACCCATGCTTTTTCTATGTACTTAAGGAAAATAAAAGTTATATATTAACAAATTATATTGGGATAAGAAGCCAGATATAATAATATGTAACAAACTTAAATTGAAGAACATTCTACCAAATGATTGTCCTGTATTTTAAAAATTGCCAGTATCATGAAAGAAAAAAAAAATTGAAGGACTATTCCAGATTAAGAACTGGAAAGATAAAAACTAAATACGATATTGTCATCCTAGATTGCAACTTCTACCAAGAAAAGAAAATAGTTATAAAAGACATTTTTTGAATAATTGTAAAATTAAAGTATGACATAGATAATAATACTGGAACAATGTAAAATTTCTTGGTTTTGACACATGTACCAAGGTTACATATAAGAAAGTCATCATTCTGAGAAAACACATAATGAAGTACTAACAGGTAAAGGGGAAGGATATCTGCAACTTACTATGAAAATGGGAGAGGGAATGAAGGAGAGAAAAATAATGATAAAGCAAATGTGGCAAAATGTTAATTGGTGAACCTGGGTAAAGGGTATCTATGGGAGTTCTTTGGAATATTCTCTTGAACCCAGGGGCTCTTTACCACTGAGCTATATCCCCAGTCCTCCTTATTTTTTTTTTGTTTTAAGACAGGGTCTCATCTCACTAAGTTTGCTGAGAGTCTCACTAAACTGATAAGACCAGTTTTAAACTTGAAACCGTCCTGCCTTAGCCTTCCCAGTTGATGGGATTCTAAGTATGTGCCACCATACCCACCGTCTGTAATATTCTCAGAGGCTTTATTTATTTTTTTTTGCTGGGCTAGGGATTGAATTTAGAGCCTCACACATGTTACACAAGCACTCTACCACTGAGCTACATTCTCAGCCCTCTCATAGTTTTTAAAGTGTGGAATTAAATCAAAATAAAAAGTTTAAAACACAAGCATCAAAATCAGCAATAATGCCATTAGTAAATATCATGCTCATGCTTTTTCTATGTACTTAATGAAAATAAAAGTTATATACTGACAAATTCTATTGGATAAGCAGCCAGTATATACTTTGTTATTGTAATCAACATTAAAAAAACATTTTAAAGCAGAAAAAATTGAGTTTAATGATTTCTTTAAATCATTAATAAAATTTATTAAAAGGAGCCTATGTTTAGAAATTTTTAAAAAATACCTCATAGGTCAAAGAAGAAATCATTAGAGAACGTAGAAGGTAACAAATATTGAATGATTAAAAATACTACACATAGTTAACATGAAATTCTTCTAAAGTGGTAGACGAAAATTTAAAGTCCTAACTTCTTATTTTAGAAATTAAGAGAAAATTAATGAGCTATAGGTCAAACTTTTTAAATTAAAGAAAGAACAAATAAAAAGAAACTAGAAGAGAAATATAAAAAGCAAAAATTATTAAAATAGAAAACAAAATACTCAATGGTGAGTATTGTTTTAACCAAAAGCAGGAAATACATGAGAAAATTGATTATTGTAATTTATCACAATATTACATGATCATATTGATGGAGGAAAAAACATAATTATGGAAGTAGATACAGACAAAGCACATGGCTAAAAACTCCATAACCATTCATAATTAAAACTCTTAGTAAGCTAGGAATAGAAACTTTCTTAACACAAAAAAGAAAATCTACTGAAAAGGGTGAAACTTTCATAAAATTCTCAAGACCAAGGCAACAAAACTCTACACTGCTTTTATTTTTCCTTGTATTAAAGATCCTGGCTAGCATAGTAAATCAAGCTAAAAAAAATGGAATGGAAAAAACTGCCATTATTCACATTATAGTTAAAAGACAATCTAAAACTCTATAAATAATTAGTATAAATACAACTCAGAAAAGCTTCAGCATATAAAATCAATATATGAAAATATCAATCATGTACCCATTTATAACAAATTTTAAAATATGGTTAAAATATTCATTTTGCAGCAACAACAGAAACTTATAATTAGGAGTAAAACTAAAAGAAAAAAAACCTTGCAGACTACATTATTATTATTAGGTGTATATCGCTTCATATAATGTAGAAATGGTTTAAATTTTATCATTGGAGCCAGCTTTTTGGTTTTCACTTGGCTGGTTTTCGTTTTTTAGTACTGGGGATTGAACCCAGGGGCACCTAACCACTGAACCACATCCCCAGCCCCTTTTTATATTTTATTTAGAGATAGGGTCTCACTAAGTTGCTTAGGGCCTTGCTGAGTTGCTGAGACTTACTTTGAATTTTCAATCCTCCTGCCTCAGCCTTCCAAACCACTGAGATTACAAGTATGTGCCACACCCAGGTGGGTAGTTATTTTTAATGTGTCAAAATCAACTCTTTTTCCTCCTTTACTTAATAAATTTTTAGTAAAGAGATTACCTTAAAAATCACAACTGCCAGGTGCAGAACATCAGAAAAAGCAGGGTAGCAGTGTAAATAATCTTCATTGTCTTCATTGGGTGAACTATTTTACGAATGCACCAAGGAAATGGAGTCATACTGCAATCCTTCAAAGACTGAAAAATAGTAAAATTAAGGTGAAATCACTTCAATTACTGTCCACCTCTTTTTTTCTGTAGCCTCCTCGATTCTTAAGTTTCATTGTGGCCACATTTCAATGATATATTCCTACAAAACAGTTTCTCTGCTGAGTATCAGAAGGCATATATTGCACAGCAGTTTAGGGCACAGACTAACCAAACATTCCGAGTTCAAATCCCAGCTCAGCTACTTAGTGCTATATAACTTCTGGCAAGTTACAAACTTCCTTTGACCTATACAAATCTCCTTAGTGGAGTTCTTGTGATTAAACAAATTAAAATATGCAAAGCCCTTATTTATGGCCCATTAAAAACTTCAGCAAATACTATTATTATAATTTTCAATAATTTGAATCACTAAGGAGAAATTATGTAGCTCCTGAACTTCTTGTCTACACATCTTCCTTTGTTTTCTAGCTGAGCACTGCTCTCCCTATAGCCTATTCTATGGTACCTCATTACCCCTCTGGACTGAGGTGAAAATGAAGGAAGTAAAACTCTATGGAATGACATCATATGATGTCAAAAGTGAAACAGAGCTCATTCTTTTCTATGCTCTACAACCACACCTCATGTCTAGAGCCTCCATGGTTGTCAGTTATCCCCTTATTCATTGACTTATTTACTCAAATTTATCTTGTTTCACTCCAGCTATGCACCAGCCATTATGCCTTGGTCATCCATCCTCTTAAAATTCCCAGCACAGGGCTGGGGTTGTGGCTCAGCGGTACAGTGTTTGTTGCGCACGAGGAGACCCTGGGTTCGATCCTCAGCACCACGTAAAAAAATAAATGAGTGAAATAAAAGTATTGTGTCCAACTATAAAATAAATAATAAATAAATAAATTCCCAGCACAATACCTATGCAATGCAAATGTTCCACAAAGGTTTACTGTATAGATGAGGAATGATGCCTCTCTCCTTTGGATTATAAGGACCTCTGAGACTTGGGTCAAAATTGGTTTTATATTTTTTATTCTACAAAACTCATTTAAATAGGAGACTGCTTTTCTGAAAGTAAGAACTAAATTCCTAAAATACAAATCATAACACTTTCTTGAAAATATTCTGTGGTTTCCACTGTTTATGGAATAAACATACTTATTTCCTTAGCATGTTCAAGGCCCTAGGGCACTCTGTCTTCACCTGCTAGTCCTTCTTAGAGTCACAATTACAGCCAAGCTGTTCCCAGAACAAGCATACCTTGAGGCTTTTGTTCTGGAAACCCTAGGCCTAAAACGCATTCTATCTCCCTTCACATGGCAGATGTCACTCACCCTTTAAGGCCCACCCAAAGCTCACCCTTCCTCTTTGATGGCTCACTATTACTACCAGAAAGATTGACTTGACCCATCCTCCATACTTCCTGAATATCTCGAACAAGCAAACATTATGGCACTTGGGTTTGTACATCATACTGTGACTTTTTTTTCCTTATTAAACTCTCTTACCTTACACACAGAAAGACATACTTCTGAAGGCTCACCTTACAATCCCCTCTTTTTAGCACAGTGCTGGGCATAGGCATTAGGCCTTCAATACAGTCTTGTTATTTTATTTTGAACTAGGTTCTTTTTAAACGGAAAATTTTGAAAAAGCATACATAAACAGAGACAGCAGTATAACAAATCCCCACATAGACATCATCCTGCTTAATTTATCAACTCACGAAAATTTTGTTCATCCTCCGCCCCCACACCTTAACCCCACTGAATTACTTTCAAGCAAATCAAAATATTCAAGTCTATTTCTTTAAAACATTACAATTATCACATCTAAAATATTAAAAATAGGAGTGGGGTTGTAGTTCAATGGTAGAGCGCTTCCCTCGCAAGCATGAGGCCGTGGGTTCGATCCTCAGCACCACATTAAAAATAAATAAATAAAGTTAAACATGTTGTGTCCATCTAAAACTTAAATAAATAAATAAAATATTAAAAATATCTACTAAATGCCATCAAATATCCATCACTTCATACAAACATATCTTGTGAAAGGGCTTTTGAGTGCCTGCATGTTCTTTCTTCTATTTGGAAATTGCGGAAAGAACGTGGAAATACGTAATTAAGCTTCGGAGAGCCTGGGTGACCCAGATGAAAACGAAAGACTCTGACCTGGTTTCGGGTGGGAAATGTATATCTCACTACTTCTCCGGAGGAAGAGGGTGCGACTTCAGGCCGGCAGATGCGGGAGGAGGTGCGGAGGGAAGATCGGTACTACCGCCGTTGGGAGTTCCTTCCGGATAATTCCACCGCGGAGCAAGAAGGCAGCGCTTTTTGGGAGGCTTGGCTTCCCGCGTGTTCCCGGGTGGGAGTGTGGATCTCCCGGAGGCACAAGGTTGGTCCCCCATAAGTGTTATAGGACCCGAGCGACAGTTTTCTCTGATGGGCCCAGGCAAAGCTGAGAGACCTGAGATGGCGGCGGATCCCCTTCAGGAACCAGCTGGCTTCCTCCCGGTTTTTCCTCTTACCGTATTTCCTGTATCCTGAGACGTATATCCCTTCTCCGCCTCCGCACCTCCACCCCGCTACGTACCCCACCCCACTTTAACGTTTCTACCAGGAAGAGACTTAAAAAACTGCGTATTTTTTAATATAATGTTTTACCCTAGCGCCTCCAGATGTAACTATACAATCTATGCGAGAAGCTCAAATTTGCCTCTAAGTGGAAAATTCTGCATGGTTTATCGATGTCTGTGTGTGGGAGCTTCACGCAGATTTACTTTAAAGCTTTACAGTCCAGCTGCGGATGCACATCACAGAGCCAAAAAATTACAACCATTTAAAAAGCAGTGTACATACATGTTGACTGGTTGACTAGAGTGCAAAACAGCACATTGATCATGGAAAATGGGTATATAAAATGAAGTCACCATATCACAGAATCCCAAATCGCTTTTTCTTTATATTTTAACAAATGTGTAATCTTTGAAGGCTTACTATATTGTTTTCCACGTTTCAATATCTAGGAACTCTCTTGAGACTTGACAATTGATAGCATTCCATACTTTAATTGGCAATATTTTTTCTTTCTTAAAGCCTGGAAAATAATGACTGTCTTACTATAGGTGGTGCGCCATATATATGATAAGTCTTAACTACAAGAAGGTACAGTGTGTCTTAAAAGAAAAGGCTTCTGGACTTAGACCTCATCATTCAAATAGCCCAGTTCCGAGTCCACTTTTTTAGACCATACTTTTCCAGCACCACCTTTGATGTTTTTAAATGACAGATTTCAATACTCAATATCAAAAGAGAACTGGAAATGAAATTGTGCCATTTACAAGCTCTGTGGTCTTTAAGTAATTAATTAAATTCTTCAAGTTTTGGTTTCCAGAGCATAATATTCTCTTCTTGCAAATCTGTTGCCATAATTAGGGACGATACATTAAAATCACTCACTATCATAACTACCTCCCATTTCCATCATTGCTACCATCATCCGAGTACCCACCACAGCCCTTTACACAAATTAGGTACTCAGTAAATGTTTGGGAAATAATTAACCCTATTGTTTTGTATCAGATGCTACTAATAAAGACACGAAAATCAGGTATAGCAGTAGCCTAATGAAAAGATGTGAAGGAATACTGAGATAGTGATTGCTAGAAGAATAGTTGGTACAACACATAATGTTATGGGAGTCAGCAATGTAGAGGTGGTAGTTGAAGTCATGGTTATGGATGATATCCCTAAGAGAAAAGAGAAATGGGCTAAAACAGAATCCTTTTTTTCCAAAAATTTTATTGACACTTTTTAGTTATACATAACATTAGGATTCATTTTGATATAATTATCAAAGCATAGAATATAATTTGCTCTAATTCAGTCCTTAGTACTTCCCCTTTCCTTCTCCTCTTCCCCCCACCTGTTCCCTTTCCTCCACTCTACTGATCTTTCTGCTATTTATGTTGTTTTTAAAGTAGTGCCTTGTGAATATACACAATGGGGAAATTCACTGTGGTGTATTCATATATGTACACAGGAAAATTAGGTCAGATTCATTCCACTGTTCTTCCCTTATCCCATCCCTCACCCCCCAACCTCAAACCCCTTCCTCTACTCCACTGGTCTTCTATTTTGATGAAACTTTCCATCCCTCTTCTTTTCATTTATTTGAAAAACAGAATCTTGAATAGCTAATGACAGACAGAAGAAGAGAAGGCTGTAGCAAAGGTTTAGTAAGAGTGGCCAAAGTTAGAGAAAAGAACTCAAATTCAGGAATTCTCAATCTTGGTGCTATTGACATTTGAGAATAGATCATTCTTTCTAATGGTGACCTGTCCAGTGCATTGTAAGATGGTTAGCAGTATCCTAAACCAAGGCTCTACCCATACCATATGCTAGTTTCTTTCCCTACACCTCCCAGTTGTGATGACCAAAAGTATCTTCAGAAGTTAGCAAATTTCTTCTGGAAGGACAAGCCCCACCTTGGGAATAATTAGTCTATCTCTAATCCTCCACATCTGTTCCTTTTCTAATTCTTATCTCAGGAAATTTGATGCTCTCCACTTAGTTGTATTTGTAAAAATGAAATTATGTAGTCTTTGTTTTTTGAAGAACATTTTCACAATATTTTTGCATCGATCTCTAAATATGCAAAACCAATGATATTAAAAGTTGAAATTAAGTTGTTCTACAGCTATGGTTTTAGTAAATTAAGAGACATGTGCTCGCTGTGGGAAGTGACAGGAATTAAAGTTTATATCAAATCCACTGTGTCTGATTTATGATAAACATTTGACTTGAGGTAAAAATGGTCTCAAATCTGTTGCCACTAACCTGGACTATTTACACTGCAACTAGATTTATGTAATTATTTTTATTGTGGTAAAATGTTCTTAGCAAAAATTTTAGTATTTTAACCATTTCTGAATATACAGGTTAGTAATGTTATGTACATTCATATGATTGTATGACCAATCCCCAGAACTTTTTCATACTTATTAAACTCAAGTCTTCATCCCACCCAGCTTCTGGTAATAATCATCATACTCACAACTTTTTTTTTTATTTTTTAGATGCAGTTGGACACAATACCTTTATTTTATTTATTTTTATGTGATGATGAGGATCAAACCCAGGGCCTCACATGTGCTAGGCGAGCATTCTACCGCTGAGCCATAACTCCAGCCCCCACTCACAACTATTTTTTAACTTGTTTCTTTCTGTTATATTAGAAAGGTGTACTAAAGGGCTGGGGCAGCACGAAAGAAAGAAAGAAAGAGAGAGAAAGAAAGAAAGAGGGAGGGAGGGAGGGAGGGAGAGAGAAAGATATTGCCTCCATCTGCAACCAAAAAAATTTTTTTTTAAAAAAGAAAGTTGAGGGCTGGGATTGTGGCTTAGAAGTAGAGCGCTCACCTAGCATGTGCGGGGCCCTGGGTTCGATCCTTAGTACCACATATAAAGAAATTAATGGAATAAAGGTATTGTGTCCAACTACAACTAAAAAAATAAATATTAAAAAAAGAAAGGTGAACTAAAGCCTTTTCCTTCCACATTTCAAAATGAATATTTTCCCATCATCTTCTCCAAGTTAAGCTTTCTTCCAACATCAGTGAACAAATGAATGTGAATCATGGGACCAGAAGAGGCACTGTTAGATTGAAGAAATGTCATGCCAGATGTGAGAAATGGTATGGACCCAAATTCCTTTCATAATTTATGGTGCTCAAAGGATGACAACAAAGAGCAAAACTAAACTCACTTCTGGGTAATAGTTACCTGTTTTCATTTAATATTTTTTAAAATGAGAAATTGGCTAATTCACTATGATTTATTTTGAAAATTAGCTTTTTATTTCAAGTGAATGGAGTTTTCTCTTATATATAAAAGATTTCTGTTTCTGTTCATTGATTTTAAGTACAAATTTAAGGACAAGAATCATCAAGTTCCTGTAAAATTTTTCTAAAATGAAAAATAAGAATGCTTTGGAGGAAGACTGTATACAATTTTTGTTTTATTTTATTAAACCAAATTTCACTAGGAATATTTGAGAATACAAAGATATACAAAAAAGATAACAAAAGGCCCATGTTTCTCTGCCTGGATAACCTGTAAAAACATTCAAGAAAATAAATAAATAAAAGATATAAGTTTAGGAAAAAATAAATCTCTAAAGCTGATCATTATGATTGCTTTTTAAAAATAAAAGTATGAGGGGTATATGTGTGCATGCACATACACATTAATGCGAACTTCATCTACCTGTATATGTATTGCTTTTTATTTCTCAAATCATAACAAATGTTGTTTTTAACTTAATGAAATAGCTTGGCATTTTTTCCTCACTTCTCAATATTTCTTTAATGGCTATATATGATCCCATTGTGTGAATTTATCATATTTTTAAATTTAATTTTCCATGGACATCTGTGGACATTTAGGTTATTTCCAGGTTTTTTTTTTTACTGAAAATCAATTCATGTACCATAAATTTCATCTTTATTATAGTACACAACTGAGTATTTTATTAATTTTTCATTTCTTTGAATATTTTCTTTTTAAAATTTTTAACTGTTGCATATTGATTATACAGAATAGTGGGTTTCATTGTGACATATTCAATTCATACATGAAACATCATTTGATCAATTTAACTCTCCAATACCTCCCCTTGCCCATCCCTCCCCCGACCTCCTTATTTACCCTATTGAGGATCTAATTTCATGGGCTCCCATTTTCCCCTTTTTTTCTGTCTAGCTTCCACATATGAAAGAAAACATGGCACTTATCTTTCTGAATGACTTATTTCACTGAACATAATTCCATCCAAATTTTCCTGAAAATGACATAATTTTATCCTTCTTTATGGCTGAGTAAAACTCCGTTGTGTATATACACCACATTTTCCTTATTCATATCTGCTGATGAACACCTACCCTTGTTCCATAACTTGGCTATTATGAATTGTACTATTGTAAATGTGGGAGTGCATGTATCTCCAAAGCATGCTGTCTCTAATTCTTTTGGGTAGATGCTCAGGATGGTATAACAGTATCACGTGATAGTTCCATTTATAGTTGGTTTGTGGTTGTTGTTTTGTCTCTGGTACTGGAAAATGAACAAAGGGTCACTTTAGTACTGAGCTCAATCCCCAGCCCCCGCCCCTTTTTTTGTGTGGTGCTGGGGATTGAACTCAGGGCATTGTGCATGTGAGGCAAGCACTCTACCAACTGAGCTAATATCCCCAGATCCCCAGTATCTTTTATTTTGATACAGAGTCTCATAAGGTGTTTAGTGAGTCTCACAAAGTTGCTGAGTCTGGCCTCAAACTTGAGGTTCTCCTGCCCAGTCACTGGGATTACAGGCATGTACCACCAGCCATTTTTTAGGTGGGGTTTTTGTTGTTTTGTGTATTTGTGTATGTGTGTGTATTGATATCAAGAATTGAACCCAGGGGCACTTAACCACTGAGCCACATCCCCAGCCCTTTTTAAAAAATATTTTTTAGTTGTGGATGGGCACAATACCTTTATTTATTTATTTTTATTCGGTGCTGATGATCAAATTCAGTGCCTCACACACGTGAGGCAAGAGCTCTACCACTGAGCCACAACCCCAGCTCACATCCCCAGTCCATTTATTTATTTATAGATAGACAGCATGCCTTTATTTTATTTGTTTATTTTTTATGCTGTGCTGAGAATTAAACCCAGTGCTTCACACATACAAGGCAAGCACTCTGCCTCTGAGCTGTGCATGCAAGGCAAGCACTCTACCAACTGAGCTATATCCCCACCCTGATACCTTGTTTTAAATTAGAGCTTTTCAGTTATACATAAAGTTGGGTTCATCCCAACAAGCACACACCAGCCCTTTTTATATTTTATTTTGAGACAGGGTCTCACTAAGTTGCTTAGAGACTTGCTAAATTGTGGAGGCTGACTGTGAACTCCCAATCCTCCTGCCTCAGGCTCTCAAGCTTCTGGGATCACAGGCAATGCACTACCCTGCCATTTTTAAGTTTTTTGAGTAACCTCTGTACTGATTGCCATAGGGGCTGTACTAATTTATATTACCACCAGCACTGTACAAAGGTTCCCTTTCCCTCACATCCTGAACAACTGAGCATTTTAAAGTATATTTACCAGTTTGTGTATCCATCACCACTATTTAATCCTAGAGAATCCTCGTCACCACCAATAAAGAAAAAAAAGGTGATTGCCAAAAAAATTACTATGTAATCAACCACTCACAATACCCCAAGAGACCCAGGCCCTGGCAATACTAATAGGCTTGCTTTCTCTATTGATTTGTCCACTCTGAATTTTTCATATAAATAGAATCACACAATATATGGTCTAATATAATATATACAAGGCTCATGATGTTATGAAGATCCAGATATCATGATGTATCAGCACTTCATTCCTTTTTGTTTTATTTTACTGTGGTGGAATACACATTATAAAATTTACCATCTTAACTGTTTTCAAGTGTACATTTCACTAGTATCTACACAGTTGTGCATCCATGTCCAGAACTTCTTTTAGTGCTTGGATTTGAATACAGGGCCTCATGAATAGTAAGCAGGCACTGTATGCATGAGCTACAACCCTAGTCTCTGAACTTTTAATCTTGTAAAACGGAAACTTTATGCCCATTAAGTGCATACTCCTCATTCTTGTCTCCATCCCTTCTTCCCAGGCCTGAGCAACCAACATTCTACTGAGCAGTCAAAAAGTTTGACTGCTGTGCTAGGGATTTGTTTCAGTGGTTGAGTGCTTGCCTAGTATATTGCAAGGTGATGGGTTCAGTCCCCTATGCCACACAAAGAAAGTTGACTTTTGTAGGTAATCCATATTAGTAGAATCATAATGGTATTTGTCTTTTCATGTCTGGACTATTTCAGTTAGCATAATATCCTCAAGATTCATTCATTATTTGTATCATATCTCAGAATTTCCTTCCTTTTCAAAACTAAATATAATACAGAAGAAGGAAATGGAGAGACAGAATGGAGGGATGGGTAAGGGGAGGCAATGCAGAATTATTTCTTTTTAAAATCATGTTATGTGCATATATAAATATATCACAGGGAATTTCACCTTTGTGCATAAGTAAAAAGAACTAATCAAATATAAATAAATAGATGAGTGAAAGGAAGTCTAGTAGAGTACAGGAAGAAGAATGGAAGAGGAGAAAGAGGGACAGAAAATGGAGGGATCATGAAATAAGATCAAATTCCATGCAGGTGTGTGCTTGTTGGGATGAACCCAACTTGTATGTATAATTGAAAAGCTCTAATTTTTTTTAAAAAAGGTATCAGGGTGGGGATATAGCTCAGTTGGTAGAGTGCTTGCCTTGCATGCACAAGGCCCTGGGTTCAATCCCCAGCACCTCATATACACAAAAAAAGATATCAAGGGCTGGGGATGTGGCTCAAGCGGTAGCGCGCTCGCCTGGCATGCGTGCGGCCCGGGTTCGATCCTCAGCACCCCCACACCAACGGGGATGTTGTGTCTGCCGAGAACTAAAAAATAAATATTAAAGAATTCTCTCTCTCTCTCTCCTCTCTCACTCTCTCTTTAAAAAAAAAAGAAAAGATATCAAGGAAAAAGTCAGCATAATGAAAAAAATAAATAAATAAAAGGGAGAACAATATACTAAAGAAAAAACTAAATATATAATCACATTTTGATTATTTCTTCATCCATTTGAAAATACTGTGTTGCTTCCACCTTTGGCTATTATGAATAATGCTATAATGCTGCAGTGAACATAGGTGCACAAATATTGACAGGATCTCTCTGAGTTGCTTAGGGCCTCACCTCCTAGCCACTGGGATTACAGGCTTGCAACACGGAGCCCGTTTATGCAAGAGTTTATGTCTGGATTTTCTAATCTATTGGTCTGTATATCTATCTTAATGCCAGTATCACACTGTTTTGATTACTTAGCCTTGTAATAAGCTTTGAAATCAGGAAGTAGAGATGTCTAATTTTGTTCTTTTTCAAGATTGTTTTGGTTATTTGGAGTCCCATATGAATTATACAATGGATTAATCTATTTCTACAAAAACTGCCCCTGGGATTTTAATAGGATTCCATTGAATCTGTAGATCACTTTTGATATTATTGACAGCTTAATGATATTAGGTTTTTAAAGACATGAGCATAGGATATCTTTCTATTTGTGTCTTTAATTTGTTTCAGCAACATTTTGTAGTTTTCAAGAGTACAGCTTGTTTAAGTTAATTTCTAAGGGATTTTTTTTGCTGTTTTTTTTATGAGTGGTAAGAGTAGAATTTAGGTGCTGGGGTTGTGGCTCAGTGGTAGCGCACTTGCCTTGCACACATGAGGCACTGGGTTCAATCCTCAGCACCCCATAAGAATAAATAAAATAAAGATATTGTGTCCATCCACAAATAAAAATATATTTTTTAAAAAAGAGTAGAATTCATTGAAAAATAAAACAAGAACAGAACTCTCACAGTGAGGAGAACCGATAGCAGGTTTTCCCTTTTTGATGCTATTTTAAATAGAATTATTTTGCTCATTTTTAAATTATTCAGTGTGTAGAAATACAATTGATTTTTGCATAATTTTGTTCCCTGCAATTTTGATGATTTGTTACTTCTTTTTAAAATTGGTGCCTTATAATTATACATAATAGTGGAATTTGTTGAGATATATTTATATATGCAGGTAACATAATCTGGATTGTTTCACTTAGCTTGTTGTTCTCTAGTTCTATTCACGTTCCTGCAAATGATGTAATTTTGTTTCTTAAAATCATAATATTGCTAACACTATCTCTCAGAAATCTATTTGACTGACAGAAGTTTCAAGTTCAGAGAGACGTGGCTATCACAGCATTCCACTTCCTTTTTGAAAAATCCTCATTTTATTATTTATTTGTTTTTGCAGTACTGGGGATTGAAACTAGGGGAGCTCTACCACTGAGTTACATTTCAGGCCCTTTTTATCTTTTATTTTGAGACCAGGTCTGTCTAAATTGCTGAAGCTGGCCTTGAATTTGGGATCCCCCTTCCTCAGCCTTCTGAGTAGCTGAGATTTAAAAAGTGTATACTACTACATCTGGCTGAAAAAGTCACATTTTATTTCAAAGACTAAATTAGAAGATAAAAAGAGAAATTGCTTCTGAAATGAAATAATTTATTTTACAGATTTTCATACAGGATAATAGGTTCATTCTTTACTTGGACTATGTAGACAATCTGAAGAAAATTAATTTAGGTTTTGGGAATTAAATAACCTGCCTTTCTTGACTCCAGCATTTAAAAAATTTAATACAGTTCCTTGTAGATAACATGTTTTTTTTTTCCCCCCTCAACCATCTTCATTGATCTGTTCTTTCTGCCTGGAATACACTTCCTGCTTTTCTTCTACTAATTCTTATTTATTTGGTAAAATTGTTTAGTCACATCCTCCAGCAACCCTTCAGGAGTCCCTGATGGCCTAGGGGGTCTTTCCTTTGTGTCCTTTCAACACTGTATGCTTAGTTATTTCCATGACACTTAACATTTTGTATTCGTTTGTTCTCCTGGACTAAAGAGTAAGTCTTAAGAATGAAAAATGTGTTTAATTTATTTCTTTATCCTCAGCATTTAATATTATCTTGCACACAGGACACTTAGTAAATTATTTATTTGAACAATAGAGACTATTTGAGTTATTGTCACAATAAAATTGTTAATCATACCTCTACATTCAATTTTAGAATCCAGCCAACGCTTTAGTAAAAAAAAAAAAAACATTCAGGTAATTTGCATGTGCTAAATGTTTATTTGTTTTGCTGGAACCAAGAAAATGATGAGCAAAAATTCTCTTTTACCTCCAAATTCGACTCCTTTAACATCACCACCATGGTTATCTTATTCTCTTTCCTTTGCTTTCTCCTCAAACTGCAGAATGAAGAGCTTGCTGTTTTCTATCTGGGAGGCGGGCAGCGGAGGGAACCGAGTTTGTCACAGAAGGGGAGGAGGGTCTACAGCCTTGCTAGTATTAAAAGGGAAAACTCTGCTCAAGCGCCAAAGCGCACAGCCAGAGAAAGGAAGGCGAGCAGGAAGTCATTTCACAAGCAGAGCTGAGCTGGCAAGGCAGCAAGACACACAGGGACTGAGACTGATTAAGAATATCGCAGATACTAGAGATTCAAGGTAACTACTCCATTGATCTCCTTGTTTTTCCTTTCCAGTAAACTGCTTCTGGAATTCAGGAGCTTCTGCATTTGAGCTGAGGATGCGCATGTTTCTGTTTGTCCTTTCTCTGTACAGAGAGAGGACTGCATGTTAAACCTGCTGATTGGAAAGCAGGCTACAGATCCAAAAATAGGGGAGGCTCTTTCTGCAGGGCAATTCTGAAAACTCAGATTGCCTTTTATCATTTGGTTAATTGAAAAGTAAAATTTTTGTTTGTTTTTAAGCACCTGGGTACTGGCATTTCATTTTTATGAGCGGGCTAAAAGCCATAAGTATAAACTAATTGGAAAAGGAAGGGAATGCTACTGAAGATTTTTTCCTGCAAGTAGAAGAAAAACTATTTCTTATTTCTTTAAGTTGTTTTCTCCTTTTGTTTACACTTCCAGTTCAGCTGTTATCTTCTCTGATTTTGTGTATCTCTTAATTGGAGCATCAGAAAAGGTGGGAACCACATTTAAAATTGGTGGATTCATTTTATAAGTGAGTGTATATTTCAGACAAACTGGTCAGAGAGGGGAGAGAGAGAGGAACGGAGGGCTAAGAAGGAAGAGGAGGGAGAGGAGAAAAAAGGGAGAGAGGGGGAAGAGATTAGGACAGAAGGATTTCAGATTTAATAAAATTGGAAGTTGGTCATCTATAAATTGTCTGATTTCCTTAGAAAACTCTTTACATTTTCAGGAAGAAATCAGGCATCTTAAGAAGAGATAATACTATAGTTTGTTTTCATATATTTGACATTTTTTTTTCCTTTAGAAACAGTGGATCTTGGTTATAAGTACTACAATTAAGAAGATTATTTGTAGAAAGGGAAGGATGAACTTGCTACTTTCCTCAGTGCCTTTGAAACATTGAAGTGTAAAGCTAAGTTCTTCTGGGCTTGCAGTATACAGCTGGGTTTAAGGACTTTTTTTTTTTTCCATCTGGTTTAAATCATTACTTTACACATTGTCTCATTTACTTCCTCCTTTACAGAGACTTTTATTTCTTTGATTTGCTGAGGCAAATAACCACAAATCCTTATCAACCTCTGATTTATACACAAGACAATAAATGAGACATTTCAAGATTCCTTAAAAAGCATTTGCCAAGCAAGCATTTCAAAAACTGATGGATGGTTAGATTTGAATGAATTGCTTTTTGCTTCCTTGGGAGCAAAACCAGTTGAACAGAAAATACTAAGAAAGGAAAAGGAAGAATATTAAAAGATTTTTATATGCAAATTGCAAATACATGCAAACAAATAATAATCTTTCTATTTGGGAAGTATACCCTTCTTGACTTCATGTTATAATAATATTCCAGGGGCTCTTTCGAATTAGACTTTTTTCGTTAGTGAGGGAACCACCTCCATTTTTATTTCTTAAAAAAAAAAATTCTTCTCAGATTCTAGCTTTCAGTGTAAAATTTCTCAAAGAAAAATTATATTTGTGTTTAAAAACATATTTGTGATTGTACCAAAGAGAGGAAGCAGTTAAAAGTCCCATACAGCTCTAGGCTTAACTTTTCTTCTTCTGACTTCTTCCTCCAGAAACAAAGGCTGGGTCGTTAGAATTCAGCTAAAAATTCTGTACTTAATGTAAGAGGCAAAATCTAATACCCAGCTTGACTCCTCAAATTGAATGTGACTCTCACTTATAGGATTTCAAACTACTAGTTGACCTGGGCAGAAGTCTCTTCAAAGCAACAAGAAAGAAAAGCAAATAATAAATTTTCACAACTGTTTTTCAAATGCTTATTTGTGCTATAAAATGATCTGTTTTATTGTACAATGGGGAAAAGCATTTGGGACTTTTGTCATTGTTTTTGGAAGAAATAAATAAGACCTCTTTTATATTCAGAAACCTGCAAAATCTAATATATGTACACTTCTTGTTCTTAAATGTGTATTCAAAATGAATTTCTATAAATGGATTTCCTTTTTTTTTTTTTTGATACTGAGGATTGAACCCAGGGGTACTTAACTACTGAGCCACATCCCCAGCCCTTTTTTAATATTTTTTTTAGAGACAGGGTCTCACTGAGTTGCTAAGTGCCTCGCTAAGTTGCTAAGGCTGACTTTGAACTTGTGATCCTCCTGCCTCAGCCTCCTGAGCTGCTGGGATTATAGGCATGCACCACCACACCAGCTTCTAAGTGGAATTCTACTCATCTACTGTGGGATTGTGAAAATAATGTCACATTTTAGTGTGATTTAGTGTTACATTTGTTTGTTGGTGATTTACTCATCATTCATTAATTATTTACCACAGGCTTGCTAATCACCAGACTCAGTGCTGGGGATGTGGAAGTTTAAATTAAGATTACTTTGTGGGGCTGGGGTTGTGGCTTCGTGGTAGAGTGCTCGCCTAGCATGCATGAGGCACTGGGTTCAATCCTCAGCACCACATAAATGTAAAATAAAGATATTATGTCCACCTAAAACTTAAAAATAAATTTTAAAAAATGTGCCCAGTTGCTTCTGACAATTAAGGTCTCTAGGATTACCAACATCTTAAAAAAAAAAGATCACTTTGTGGGCTGGGGCTATAGATCAGTGGTAGAGCACTTGCCTAGCATGCATGAGGCACTGGGTTCCATCCTCAGCACCACATAAAAATAAAATAAAAGATATTGTGTCCACCTACAACTAAAAAATAAATCTTTTAAAAGAGATTACTTTGTTGCCTTAGGCCCAAACAGATAAATAAATAAATAGTTCTAGTTCTATTATGGGCTGATAAATTCTCCAATAGAGATACTTATAAACTGCAGTGATAATGAATATAAAAGAATGGGATGAAAAGTTAGGATATTTCATTTTAGCAGGATTTCAGTGGATCACTAAGAGACTTCTTTTGCCATAATCAATTCAGTGAAAAGCAATCTTTTATTGCTTTTCCTGAGACAAGCTAAGGAAACTAATGTAACCTACCATCTGTTAAGCATTTATGATATGCCAAGTGGTGTGTTAAGTACTTTATTTGCCTTAAATATAATTTTCTCATCTTATTAATTAGGGTATTTTATTGTATCCGTTTTCTGGAAAGGAAATTGAGGCTCAGAGAAAAAAAATAGTTCGCCTAAAATTACTCAGCTAGGGGCTGGGGATATATGAGTGCTTGCCTCACATGCTTGCCTCACATGCTTGCCTCACATGCACAAGGCCCTGGGTTCAATCCCCACCCCCGCCACACACACACACAAAATTACTCAGCTAGTAAGTAGCAGACCTGGGATTCAATTCAGAACTGCCCAAAGCCACTATATTATATTATTTCACAAGGAGGGACCAGGAGCTTAGGGTGGTTAGAGTAAAACAAGACATTTCAAGCAGAAGGAATCATAAGTTTGGGGCATGTGAACATGAAAAAGTGGATGAGTTTGTGGAACTGACCTCATTGCATTGTTACAAATAATTAATTGAGTGATCACATGAAAAGGGATCAGAAGAGAACTGGTATATAGTAAGTGCTTCGTAAATGTTAGCTATTTTTAGTACAGCTCATATATTACTACTATTACTGTTATGTTAAGGAGTAGAAAGCCATATGAGTTTTTTTTTAAATCCAAGATTTTCAAGTTTAATAAAGAAATAGGAGGAGGTTGACCTTATTTGGGACTTGAATTGGTCTTTGAAGTACAGGTGGATGTCAAGGAGAAGGAATAAGGTTTTACAAGGGTGGGGGAGATGTGAATAAAGACAAAAGACAAAATGAAAAACTCACAACCCCCCCCAAATTTAAAGCAAACATCATTGACAATGATCAATGACCTTTATCTTTTTATTTTCTATGTGTAAAAAAGTCTTAGCAGATAATGATCAAAAGGGAGCAGTATAGCATAGTAGTTAATAACATGGACACAGGTGTGCTATTGCTTGAATTTGGACATCAGCAAAACTACTTATTAGACATATGTTGGACAAGGTTTTTTTTTTTTTTAAATCAGGGATAAACTCATCAGCTAAGAACAATACCTAGCACATAGTAAGTCCTATATAGTATTAGGAATTCTTGTAGATAGCTTTAAATTCCAAGGTAAGGGGTTTGAATTTGATGTATAGGCAAAATGGAACCACCAGAGATTGTTAAACAGATATGACATGATAACAACTAATCTGATAGCAAAATTTTAAGTATCTTGGTTTGGCTGTGTGTTAGCAGGAGAGAATAAATATGACTGGGTAGCAACCAGAGATGGACAGACCAAACTGTAGATTCTTATATGAGTGAAGAATAAGAATAGGAAGTAGCAATAATAAACTGTATGCAAGAGATATCATAAAGAAATAATTTCTAGGTTAGTGAGAAATATGGATGAGAAGAATGAATAAATCAATAGCGTGTCTAAGGTTTCTGAATTTCAAATTCAGACTACTGAAAAAATTGTGGTACTACTGATGGGAGGAAAAGTCAGAAAATTTGACCTGTTTGGGCTGGAAACATGAAGAGAAATAATTAATAATAACTTACTTTTTAAAAAACACTTTGATGTACATGAGTGATTTTGAACATGCTGAATTCAAGGTGCTGCCAGGGCAGTCAGAAAATGTTGCTAATATAGAACTGAAGTTTAGGAAAGAGGTCAGGATTTGGAAATCACAGAGAACGTGTACAAGGATGTACATTACATCAGGAAGTTGAAAGTAATCTGGGTTTTCAATCACTGGGAGAGTGAATGGTAAAATGTGGTAGGTGCACATTAGAAGCAGGTGCCACAATTAGAAACAGGGGATTAGATACAATCATAGAAACAAAAAGGGATCTGAGTAATATGGTGCTGATAATGAAAAAAAAGAACAGAATATATAATACAATAATATATATATATCTAAAACCATAAAATCCATTTTGCAAGAATGCATACAAACAAAAAGATATATACTAAACTTATCAGAATGGTTGCCTGTGTTGGGGGCAGTGACAGAAATGGAAATAGAGTAAGAGAATAAAGTAAAAGAATTAAATGAGCATCATTGAGAGGGGGCCTTGCATGAACTGTGATAACCTGCCATCATGAAATGAGGAATTATTATCGTCTGAAACATGTGCATTTAGAAGGACATTAGGAATCATTGCAAAGCTAAATCATGCACTATTTTTTCTATGTTGTCATCCTCAAGCTTAGTTAATTAGTAAAAGGTCATGCTTTTGCTTGAGTTTCTTGATATGTACAATGTGTATGTGTGGAAAAATTTTTGCTTATAAACAGAATAGGGACATCCTGTAAATCCTTACTTAAAACCAATTTGTTTTGCTTTTGCAGGTCAATATGGCCATGCCAGAAAAATCCAGTTGTACCAAACCAAGTGAGGATTTCAGTCATTTCCCTCAGATTATTGAACTCAATGTCGGTGGTCAAGTGTACATCACTCGCTATCCTACTTTGATTAGCATTCCTGGTTCCCTGCTCTGGGAAATGTTCAGTGAAAAGAATCTTTGTTCCCTGACCCAGGACAACAAAGGGAGGTTTTTCATAGATCGAGACGGTTTTCTCTTTCGTTATGTGCTAGACTACATGAGGGACCGGCAAGTAGTGCTTCCTGACCACTTTCCAGAGCATGGTCGGCTCCAGAGAGAAGCAGAATACTTCAGGTTGCCAGAACTGGTCAAGATGTTGGCTCCTAAAATGAATAAGCTCAACTCAGTTGGCAATGACCTATGCCAAAATGACCTAGAAGAGCTATCTCCCAGCATTGACACCATGTTTAATCCCTCTTCAAGTAGTATTGTCCATATTAGTGGCCCTGATAACCCTCTAGCTCTGACAACAGGTACTGGTTCTCATCTCAAGAAGGCAGGCTTCATCACTATTGGCTATCGAGGCACTTATACTCTGGGTCGGGACAGCCAAACAGATGCCAAATTCCGCCGTGTGGCCCGAATCATGGTGTGTGGTAAGATCTCCTTGGCCAAAGAAGTGTTTGGAGATACTCTGAATGAAAGCAGAGACCCTGACCGTCCTCCTGAGAGATACACTTCTCGATACTATCTCAAATTCACTTTTCTGGAACAAGCCTTTGACAGACTAGCTGATGCTGGCTTCCACATGGTAGCATGCAACTCCACTGGCACCTGCACTGTCACACATGACCAAACAGATGACAAGATCTGGACCTCTTACACTGAATATGTTTTCTACCGTGAGTGACACTAAAAAAAAAAAAAAAAAAAAAAAAAAAAAATCACCTGGAAAATACAAACCAAAAAGTCAACTCTCTTTCCTCTCTCTGTTCCAGTGTCAACTATCTCCTTTAGAAATAGACACATTACTCTTAGGCCTTGAGTCCTCTGTCTAATCATGGACAATGTCACTCCCGTCACTGTAACCAGTTGAACCTTATTTGGCATTTTCTTCTTACACATCATGCCATTTTATCTGGCTTCCAACCTGCCTTGGGTTATATATTTGGATACCTTCTGAGGGAAAGTATTAAATGTGAATAGGCATGTCTATTCACATCGCTATAGATAGTAGAAATGAATTTGTTGGGTGAATACAGATAGAGCCACAAAATTTAGTTAGTTGAGAAATGCTGAGCCATGGTTTCCAAACTTTCTTAGCACTCCACTAAAGTATGGATATGCTTACATGACTTATTATATGTATTCACCTAGGTAAAGCCCTGTTTTTTCCATTCTGAGCTAGAGATTGCTATAGTAATTATTAATATGCTATTTTTTCTTTTTGCAGTAGTGGGATCGAATTCAGATCTTGCATCCATGCTAGGCAAGGCTTTTACCACTGAGCTACATCACCAGCCCAGGAATATGCTTTTTAAAAAGTAAACACACACACACACACACACAGTTGCTATTATTTTACCAGGCTCAGTGGAAGAAGTTGACAAGGGTCCTCCAAAAGGTTCATAGAAAGATCAACCAATTCTCAAACTATCAATTGCTCTTAACAGAATGTGGGTGAAAAGAACCAGGTGTGGTAGCACATGCCTATAATTTCAGCTACTCAGGAGACTAAGGCAGGAGGATTACAGTTTTGAGAATATCCTGGACAACTTATCAAGGCCCTGTCTAAAAAGGCCTGAGGATGTAGCTCAGTGCTTACCTAGCATGTGTAAGGACCTGGGTTAAAAAAAAAAATGTGGGTGAAGAAAACAATTTCTTAAGTGATTATTTTCAAGAATAAAAGGCTTGGCACTGAAATTCATTTTACCTGAGAAAAATAGGATGAGTACCATGGCTATTACACAGATATAAGCAGATATGCCATTTTAAAACACTGCCCCCAAATACCTGTCTTATTCATTAGCATTGTAGATATGGGAAGGGTAAGAAAAGTATGTAGATAAGGGAAGGGTAAGAAAAGAATTGTTTTATGTAAATATATATATATATATATATATATATATATATATATATATATATATATATGTGTGTGTTAATTTGGTTTTCACTGGTCAAATAGTTGGATGTATATGTCAGCTGTTAACTTGTTTTTTTCTTGACTAGCTGAAGTGAATATGTATGTTTTTATCTGGGAGTGGGAATGAGAGAAGGTAGAAGATGAAGAGGAAAAAAGAGAACTAAAAAAAACCAATAAATAAAAATTCATCTTCTGAAGCCTCTACTGATAACTTTTTATTATACAGGTTGAAAGTAAACACCCTCATACAAAAACATCAGGGAATTGAGACAAATGATTGGCTTACTGGAGATGATGAGACAAGTCAAGAAAAAGAAACTTTGAGGGCCCACTTTAGAAGATCTTTGTCACTATTTTGAATAGCTTTATAACACCCCAGTGATCAAATATCCTTCTCTTCCTTTATTCTTTGCTTTTTTTGTCCCAACATCAGCCTCTATTTGTGCTTGTTACCTTTCGAATGATTTTCTAGTCAGGTTTCTTGGATTGCAAGGAACTAAAACCCATTTAAAAGTGCATGCATGCATCAGGGGTGTGATTGGGTGGGCATTTTAAAGATCTGTTTGCTTTATAGAGACCAATAACAGGAAATTAAGTCCAATTGAGTTTCAAAGGCCTGGGGAGGTGTTAAGAACTGTTCCCTCTTGTCTTTCAGAAGCTACATAGCTCTTCTTTCATCATATCCAGAATCTATTAGTTCCATATTTCTCCTTCCACACAGATCACCTTCTTTTCCTCAGCTTGTACCTGGCTTAAGCAGTCATGTCAGCTCTTATGTGAACAGGAATTATTAGCCATTGTTTCCATAGTTAACTTTATTGTTGTTTTTTTTTCTGGTACCAGGGATTGAATCCAGGAGTGCTTCACTGCAGAGCCACATTCCCAGCCCTATCATTTTCATTTTTAAAAACAGGAAGCAGGCTTCTAAAATATAAGATTATGGAAATGGAGGAAAGGCATTCAAGTGCTGGTTGGCCCTAAACATGGCAAAGGTCTGAGACTCAGAAGAAAGTCAATTGAAGTGGAAAAAGTGTTAAATGTGTTAAATCATCCATGTGGGGAAAACTTGCAATATCATCAATGTTAGCTTATGAAACTTATTTTATATATCAATTTTTAAAAAAATATTATCATTGGTTCTATATCTTCAAAGTAGTTTTAGGAATTTGCATTAGTTTGAAGGAAAAAAACACCAAAAACCCAGGTGACATTATTATGTGTTACTTCACCAAAGTAGCAATTATCTTTTTAACATAAATTTTCTATAACTTATTTTTTAAGGTAGTGGAGTTCAAACTTTGGCTAATGAAAATTTAAAAAGAAAAAATTCTTACTGGGATTTCTGTTATATTAAACAAATAAAAGTAATGAACAGGCCACTCAGCTAATATCCAATGTCTTATATTTATCTGGGAATCATAAGGTTCTATGGTTCAAACCACAAGCATGGTTTAAGAACTAATTGTTTTGAAGTCAAACAGATTAGTGCTCTAAGAGGGCAGAGGTGAGGAATTTTAGACAATGTACAGAATCAGCTTAATGAGGAACTTGTGAAAACCCCTAATTTTAATTTCCCTCAATGGAAGAGAACTTGGCTATTGAAGAAGTTGTTAGTATTTCAAGGAGAAAATTGACTTTACAACCATTAATTTGACCTAATATCTAATTTTTAGTTAATACCAATTTATACATGGCAGACATAATCTTGGGTATTTATTTGTGTTAATTTTTTTTAGAGAGAGGGAGAGAATTTTTTAGTATTTATTTTTTAGTTTTCGGCGGACACAACATCTTTGTATGTGGTGCAACCCAGGCCGCACGCATGCCAGGCGAGCGCGATACCGCTTGAGCCACATCCCCAGCCCAACTTGTGTTGTTTAATTCCTAAAACTTATGCTGAGAAATTGGTACTGTTACACCAGTTAGTTTGAGAAAAACTTTTTTTTTTGGTACGGGAGATTGAACCCAGGTACACTTAACCACTGAGTAACATTCCCAGCCCATTTTATTTTTTTATTATGAGACTGGGCCTTGCTAAGTTGCTTAGAGCCTTGTTAATTTGCTGAGGCTGACCTTGAACTTGAAATCCTCCTGTCTCAGCCTCCTGAACTGCTGGAATTATAGGTGTGAGTCACTAAGCCTGGCAATGTGTATATTTTAAGAACAGTAAAGTTATCGAGAGATAAGTAGCAGTCTCTTAATTCAGGTTCTTTTGTAGAACCTGAATCTAAGGGAGCTATAATTAATCATGTAATTAATCATTTATCTACTGTTTAAAAAAAAAATCCATCAAGTACCTAACAACCCACCCCCTAGAGCAGACCAGTACCTCCTGATCCACTCCTAAAACTTCTAGTACTTTTTGTTAATAAGATGAACCAGTTAGTAATGACCTGTTTTTGAAAGATGATTAAAGTTTCTCTCTCCCACAGACTATAGGCCCCACATCTTGCATATCATTTTACCTCTAATGCCTGGCACATGATAGGTGATCAAAGTATATTTGTTTCATAAATGAATAATTGATCACCTTCCTAATGAATGAGAGTTATGCATCAGGACTGGGGGTTATGTGGTAAGAAAGGCAAAACATTAAATACATGGTACACACTGATGATATCCTATGCTTAGTAATACCTGATTCTGGATCTAAACTGATGTAGGGATCAATATGGTTTGAATACCTTTCTCTGTGCTGAAAATAAATTAAGATAGAAGGTACACAAACCATGCACTAATCAAACATAGGGTGTGGAATTTCTCTAACAGTAAAACACAACCCAAAAATAAAAACTACTAGAAACTTTAGGGACAAGGTGAGAACCAAATACAAATTTGTATGTAACAATTATGTGGAGAATCTTAAATCTGATCTCTTTATGGCTTATATACTTCTATTTTTAAAGAATAGTTAAATTAATTTGTGGCTCAGATTAGTTTTCAGTTGTTGAGATTTTAAAAGAAGGCATGTGGGGGCTGGGGCTGAGGATCAGAGTTAAAGCACTTGACAAGCATGAGGCACTGGGTTTTATCCTCAGCATCACATAAATATATTGTGTCCACCTATGCTGAGGGCCATTACCAAGTAGGAATGACGCATCGAAATTTCCTTGCCAAGCGTACCCCATGCTGCTTAGAGGACATTCGATGGGGCATTGCATGCATGCTTTAATAAGGTGACCTTGCTCAAGGACTCTAATAAAGTGACCTTGCTCAAGGACCAAGGCGGATCCGGGTTTAGAGCTGATCAGGTTTGAGGAAGTAACCGGCTCCTTGAGTTTAAGGCGTTGCCAGTTTAAGATAATGGGTTTCAGGGAAGTTGGAAGTTGAAGATTATTGCTGGGATTAGGGTGTTCCTGCTGCTTGTTCCCGTTGAGTTCTCGTGAGATTAAAATGGGATTTGGAGAGAGCCTCGTGGAGTAGGTGAAGTGTGCGGGCAGACGGCAGAACGTGTTTGCCCCTGGACCTGTGTGGAGGCTGTGTGAGAGCTGGAATAAAGAATTGCTGTTTGAACCTACAAAGGTGTGTGGTGGCTCTTGATTCTGGTGCCAAGCCGAGACATTGGCCTTTGGCACACCTAAAGCTAAAAAATAAATATTAAAAAAGAAGGCATGTGGCAAAGTTAGGGTGTCACTAAGAAAATCTGGCAGGCTGCTAAGTTACCTTGGTGAATTCCTTACAGTTAAGATCTGGCCCTGAGCCTAGTTAGCTAAGAAACATGTTTATTCACAGTAGACAAGCTCACAAGGGGCTGATTTTACCCATTATTCTACCTGTGAAAACCTCTGTGCATTAAATTATTAATTTATAATAATATATAACTTGTCAGACCATAGGATTGTATTCAACAAAGAGTGCATTGTGTCATTTAGTCATATATATATATGTAAAACAAGATTATAATGGTTGTTTATATATTACTTTTTGCAGTAGTTTTTAAATTTTAAGAAAATTAGAACTTTTCTGTAATAAAATTTGCAAATATTTTCCCTGAAAAAACCCAAAAAGATTATAATACCAAGATTGCTTGGTTAGCCTAGAATCAGAACTTGGAGTCAGGGATTGCTGTGACTTAGAAGTTACTATATCTTTAAACTGACTGTGTATAGCTCTGATCTGACCACTGTGTGTGAATCTCATAACATCTCTTAGAGGGCCCTATTATTTCCTACTCTATACATAGTCTGATTCCCAGAGGCTAATTCTTAATCAACACACAATTCTGGATGTGCAATCCTGGAATTGTGAGAGTCCTGTGAATGCAATAGGTAGGCAAGATTGTTTCTGCAACTCATTTTATAGGGTACAAAGTGATTATGGAAGTGACATATGTGAGAATGAAAAGAATACCTAGGCTGGTTCACAGCATTGTCAAATATCTGCCCAACTTGCCTTTCCAATGTAATGCCAGATTCGTGGGAACCCAATAGACCTCCAGGAGCTGAATCCAATGCAATCACCCAAGAGTCTTTATTGCAAGCTTGAGCCTGGACTCACAACCATTCCCAATGCAGTGGTCCCAGGAAGTGAGTCCCGGTCCTTTGTTCAGTGAGATCATTCCATACTTCGGGAAAATCAAACATTCCTTTGTTAGACCAGGATGCAAGAAAAGACCACTGACTCCAATTAAAATCAAATTAAAGCAAGCTTATTATTTCGACCTGCTGGGCTGCCTCTCCCCCGAAAAACCACGGGAACAAGACAGGAGCCGCAGCTTTCCTGCAGCCCAGCTTTATAGCCCAGAAAGTTACACAAAAGGGGGTTACAGATAACAGAACTCTGACGAGCATCACACGAATGGTAGTTTACATTTTTTTGCTGGCCCCAACATCAGAATTTATGAGGATCATTAGAGCCTCAGAGAGGGTCATCATCTGGCCAGAGAAGGCCAAGATTTGTGAGGTGTCACTAAAGTTTCAGAGAGGGCTGCTATCTGGTCAGAGAGCCAGGCATGGGTGAGTTCGAGGCACAGGCAGGCATTCCAAGCAGGTTCAGAATTTGCAGTAATTTATAGTAAAGCCGAAATTATCTTTTCATGGCTTTGTGGCAAGATGGCTCCCAATTTTAAGAAAAGATCAGTTTGGGTCTATCATCCATACCGCAGGAAATCATTCCATACCTTGGGAAAATTAAACAACAACTCTTAACATTGATTAGCACATTCAATGGCGGGAACAAGTTGGGTAGGGGTGATTGGTTAGT